TGTATTTCCAGCATGGTGGAAAAAGAACAATATGTGGATGAGTTGATACATGCGAGAGGCGCTCTTGATAAAATTATCAAGAGTAATATGCTTCATTGATTCCAAATGGTGAATTAGCGATTTTTGTGGAGGAAGAGAATCAAATTGATGGGAATTCTGAATCTTAACAAGAGTAAACTGTTGACATTAATATAGGTGATAAAAAAAAGTAAGTGTCCCTGATAGTACAATTATTCAACAGATGCACATGCACAATCTACAAGTGTTGATGGACATCCTGTTTTGCTTTTTTGGTTTTGAATTAAAGATTATAAATTCACTCCATCATATGGTGTAATATGTGATTTTCTAGCATGTCAGGGAAGTCATTTTTTTATCCTAATGTCTCTGTGCTTATCATCTTATTTAAAGGCATATAACGGTTGCATCGGCAGAAAGAAGCTTTGCAAAGATATAATTATTGAACAACTATTTGAGACAATAAGTAAGCGAGTTTAAATGGTTTGACGACATTATGCATTGAGAAAAATTATTGGATTAGATTGACATCGACCCCATCATAAGTAACTTTGCGTCGAGGATTGATTTTTCTAGTGTATTATGTATAATTATATTCATATGTATACTATTTTTGATGCATTTAAGTGTTTATTCATAACATTTCATCTATGCATATATCCATTATTATTACTATATTGTTTATACTAAGGATCCCCAGTTTTGGTTTCGCCCCGGGCCCCCAAAATCTCAGGACCGGCACTGTCAGCCCGGTTCACCTTGCCGCCGCCGGAGGAAGCCGGCCACCCGACGGACGGCGGCGGTGGGGCGTCTTTGGCTGGGTCTTTTTTTCTGTTCTTCAGGTCACCATCGTCACCGTTGTGTGTCAGCGTCCATGGCTTGGTGCCTCCCGATCTGGTTGGTGTCCATGGCTAGAAGTACGATCAAGACAAGCATGTAGTGCGGGTGCATGGATGGTACATACAGATAGCCGCTTGAGATGTGCACATGCTTGCAGATGATGGCCGCTGACTAGCTGCAACCCATGGTCCTGGCTGCTTGCCTGGCTAATTGCGGTCGCCATCGAAAGATCTTTCTGTGAGTTTCATCTCAGTAGATCCGGTGGTAGACTTTGACGGCGAGATGCAATCTATGGACGAAGTCTTGATGCAGAAGGATGGTTGTGCAACGGCGACGGTCACATCGCATGTAGCTGCCGGGATCGTGGAAAAGTGATGGCGACAACCATGAATGACTTCTATGGTGGTTCTACTTGAGCACCCGGTCTCGAGCTCCGGGGTGAAAGCCTCTAGGTCTAACCCGAGTTAGGTATACCTGGCAATGGCGATGCTTTACATCGTTACCTTGTGGAAGGCATTGTTCGGAATGCTCAGACTCATTCTTCAGGGCGAAAGCCTAGATTCTAGCCTTGGGTGGCTGTATCCGGTGACGGCGACACTTGAGTGTCGCTTCCTTTCTGAAGGTGTTGCTGTTGAAGAATCGTTGTCCGCGTGGTGTCATGAGATGGTCGGTGCAGATATGATCATTGTTATAGTTTGCCGATCGCGGATCTGATCACTTTGTGGCATTTTTTTCCTTGCCTACGCATAGTTTTTGTCTTATGACTTTGCTATTTGCCGGCGTGTTTTTGTGTGCGTGCGTGCGTTAGTGTCGGCTGTGTGCATCTTAGCTATGCAGAGGCCGGATGTGTTCTCAGTGTTTGTATCCTCTTGATGCTCCATTTTGAGTCAATAAAGTCTACCCTTTATCGAAAAAGCAAAACGTTGCAAGCAATTACCACGATTCAATCTAAAGGCAGGGAAGGGAGCATTCAATCTGTTCAGATTCGTGAGTTGTCAAACCCCCGTGTTTAATTAATTACACGGGCGTGATCGAATTAATCGGACCTATACATCGTGTTTGGTTGGGGGGAGTTGGAGGTAGGGAATGGGAGTTTAAGATTGCTGAGACAAAAAATCCGTTGATTAGTTCAGGGGTTTGGGAATTAGCAAGGGAAGAAGAAGGGGAATTAGGAGGGCCAACTCCCACCGCTCTCTACCCAGGGGGACCCTGGTAATCCAGTGGAGGAATGGGAAACGTCTAAACACATATCGTTACAGATTTGGTGGCCCACCTCCCGCAACAAAGGAAAAATAAAACAGGAACATCCTAGCTAAATATGTGCAGCGGGAGATTATTTCCTCCAAGCAAACCGGCAAGCGCTAACTACTCCCTAATCTGCAGATGCAACGCCAAATAGGAGCACATCTCACGTAACCTACCTTTCCTTTTCTTTGTTCATGGAAATTATTCCCATAAATAATCTCACCCCGTACCAAACGTGGGACTAGGACTAACATGCCTCTTCCCAAGCCTAATCCCTCAGCCAACTCCCTCTCATAAATTTCCAATCCCTTTCTCTTAAACTACCAAACACGCTGATAATAACTTTCTTGCTAATGCACATGCACGCAGCTATTTACTAATCGAAAAGGTGTGATGGAACCCGGGTGCCCCGACACCCTGTTATCCTGCTCGTCCAGCGACTTCAAGATTTGTACCAGCCACTGTCCAGCTGTAGAGACTTTGCAGTAGCAGTGTAATTAGCAGGCTTTTCTAAGCAGAAAACAGCGACGGAAGGAGAGACAGGTATGGCAGGACTAGGCCTGGCAGGAGGTCTTGTGGGCCAAGCTGGTTGGGTGATGGTTGAAGTGGCAATACATTGACCACGGTGCATGCGCCCACTCGCACCACATGAGATTCCCATCTCTCTCTTCCCTGGCACTCCAACTCTCTGAAAAGTTATATTTAAATAAACTCTCTAAATTGCTTTGACATGCATGCGCAGCCACATGTTGTGCCTCTCTCCTAAAAACAGTCTCACATGCATGCACAAGTTCAGAAGTTCACGTGATCTGGACAACTCCACATTTTTCTGTAAAAATGCGGCAGCCAAAGCAAAGTAATAAATTGTTATTTTCTTGAGTGTCAGCAACGGAATAATAAATGAAGATGTGACGCACTTGCTTCTGTTTTTGTTTTCATGGCCAACATGTCGCATGCGACAATGGTCTGGTGGTGCTGAAGGAATCTTTTCACGGACGTCTCTACCTTTTTGTTAGGTGGAATCAGCTACAGTGCGAGGTAGACCTGCTAATCAACTACATGCAACAGGATGTGGTACAGATCTCTAGGAACTGAATTCTTGACGGGCGGTGGAGATAAGAGGGTGCCTAGACACCCGGGTTCTGAAAAGCCATTCTCATTAATCCCTCCCTGCTCTCCTGGCTCGCTTCTTGGCTCTTGCATTGCATTTCATCTTGGCCAGCCCGGCCGCGAGATCAACTCACAAGGTTCAGCGGAGATGCGCCTCGTGTTCTGCGCGGCCCTGATCGCCGCAGCCGGAGTCATCTCAAGTTTGTCGTCTCGATTGATCACTATCCTAGTAGCTGCCTCTGTTACATCTGATCCATAGCATTTACACAGCTTCTTGGTTGATCTAATCGTACTGATCAAACCCGATCATGCGTAGGTGCGGGTGCAGATGACGCGTTCCTCCTAGGGCACCACGACGACGGCGCAGCTGCCACCGGCCGGAGCCGGAGGTTGTCGCAGGCCAGGAGACCATGCCCGGTGGACTTCGCGGCAGCCAACTACACGGTGCTGACGAGCCGGTGCAGGTGGCCCCCGTTCGATCCGGCGCCGTGCTGCGCGGCATTCAAGGACTTCGCGTGCCCGTACGCCGACTACATCAACGACGTCGTCAACGGCACCGACTGCGCCACCGTCATGTTCCATTACATCGACCTTCATGGTGGCTACCCGCCGGGCGTCTTCTACCACAACTGCAGGGAAGGGCCCAAGGGCCTCAAATGCCCCGACGGCATCCCCGAATAAGTTAAAAATGAGGAATTTAAGTACTGTATATGTGTTTTGGTTACGACGTGTTCCCGGCATGGGGTAAAGCAATTATTATGGCCCATAATTTATGGGCAGTGCTATTCTTACGCACTGATTGTACAAAAATCTACGCACTAGCTAGTTCAAATTGCTGGCGGTTATTCCCTCCTTTTTCTCCTGACGGTGATTGTCTCTCTCACATCATGTAAGTTTTACGTAGAAGTTGGGCGTACGAGTAACATTTGTGCATGAGTTATTATCTCTTTATCTCTCTCCTGACTGGCCGAGGGTGGCTTGTGGTGCCCGAACAAAATACTACTCCCTCCCCCCATTCCACAATATAGTGCGCCTGCGTTTTCTGAGATTCAAGTTTGATCGTAAATTTAACTACCGAGACCGACTATGGCTGGAGCAAAAATTATACCATTGAATTCGTATTTTCGATATGAATTCAGTGATATAATTTTTGCTCCCGCCGCAGTCGGTCTCGTTGGTTAAACTTACGGTCAAACTTGGATCTCGACAAGCGCGGATGCACTACATTTTGAAACGCAGGGAGTATATAGATCTTTGTAACGGTTATGCCGATCCTTTGACGTGAAGTTGAAACATAATTAATACAACTGAAACACCAAGCAAAAGACGCCGCTCGTGAATTTGTGGCCAGGTTCAAATTCAAATCCAATTAACGGGGACACGCGCGCACGTATCCAGTTCTTGCTTGGAGAGTAGGCAGGTTGGTGCTGTACGTGGCTTGGAGGCTTCAACCAAGGATCCCCCTAGCTAGCAAGCCACACCATCTTTTGCTCTTGGACACTATGGATCCTTCTGCCATCTCAGTCGGTAATCTCTTGGTCATGCATGGTTGCAAGAGCGACGTGATGATCGACATAGCTGATAGCTGGTGGCCGCCGTCCAAGCAAAGGAGCAATGTGATTAAGCGAGCAAGCATAGAGAAGATTCCAGGCGAATGAAGCACCTTACCTCACGCAACAGCAACCAGGTAGATCTATATAGATGTTTCTCCGTCCGTCGGGAATCACATACAGAGCAGATACACGGGCTCACTCCAGAGCTAGCAAGTACCCAATAGATCGGCCGAGATGAGGGGTGCAGCAGCAGCGAGGCGCGACGGCGAGCGGCGGAGCTTTCGGTGGGCGATCCTGGCGGTGGTGATGCTGCTCCTCGCCGTCGGCGCCCTCTACGGCGCCGTGATGTACAAGACGCAGCTGCGGCTTCAGGTGTGCGACGCCAAGCTGATGGGCGGGCCGGTGGTGTACGATCCCCTCACCCTCAACACCACCCTCCAAGGCCTGAGCATCAACGTCACCCTCTGCTGGAAATGATGATGTGAAATACATGCACGTATTAATTGTTGTATATACCATATATATCTGTGTGCCGTTGGTGTATATATCTGTTCGTCCGGTTAATTAAACGGTCGTCTTGCTGCCTAAATGTGTACGCAGATCTTCACCATTGTAAAAAGGGATAAGTATATTTTTGGTCCTCGAACTCTTCCGAGAGTTTAGAAAACGTCCCTCAACTCTAAATCAGAGAGTTTTCGTCCCTCAACTAGCAAAACCGGATAGTTTTCGTCCCCCGTGCCTCTTCGGGCGGTTTTAGTCCGGGATGAACCGTAAATCAGTGAACAGTAAAATTGAAAAAATAGCAAAAAAAAACTGAAATTTTACAGCATCAAATGAACTCTAGTGCGCAAGACCCGTGCAAAATTTCGTGGTGTTTCGACATTCGAGCAACTCGTGACAAACAAAAAACTGTAAATATGTACATCGGGCAGTAAATTAAAAAAGAATAGCAAAAAAAATTCAAAAAAACATGAAACCTTTTGGCATCAAAGATGCTCAGGTACGCAAGATGCCTGCAAAATTTCGTGATCAAATGACATATGAGGAGCTCTAGCCAAAAAAACAAAATAGCGCACTTTTTCAAAAAAAAAAAATCTTAGCCAAATTTTGTTTTTTTGTCATGAGTTCGTACAATGCCCAAACACCACGAAATTTTGCACGAATGTTGTGCATCCAAGCCTCTTTGATGCCAAAAAAATTTATATTGTTTTGAATTTTTTTGCTATTTTTTTGAATTTACTGTTTACTGACGTACATATTTATAGTTTTTTGTTTGCCACGAGCTGCTCGAATGTCAAAATACCACAAAATTTTGCACGTGTCTTGCGCACCAAACTATCTTAGATGCTGTAAAATTTCAGATTTCTTTTATTTTTTTGCTATTTATTTTATTTTACTGTTCACGGATTTAATGTTCATCCCGGACTAAAACCGCCCGAAGCGGCATGAGGGACAAAAACTATCCGATTTTGATAGTTGAGGGCCGAAAACCCTCCGATTTAGAATTGAGGGACAATTTGTAAACTCTCAGAAGAGTTCGAGGATGAAAAATATACTTATCCCTTGTAAAAACCCTGACATATATGTGTACGTAGATTTACTTCACCGTTGATGCCTAAGTATGTTGTTTCCTAATTTTATGCCAAGGGTTAGCTAGGGAGGCAATATGTCATCACGTTTAGTCAGGGCGGAATAACTAAGACGCGAAAGTTATGGCAACCTTGCGACTATTCCCATTAAGTGGTGACAAAACCTGTATCGGTCAAAATCACCTTATAGTAGACGTAGCGAGAAACCAGACCGCAACACAGAACCCAGATACTCCACTCTTTCTCATTGTTGGATCTATTCGGATCTGGTCGTCGTTCTTTTATGTTCATGTGTCTTTAGGTTAGATCTTTTTGATATACGCCACTCTTCGTCGGCGGCAGCTGCTGTTCTATTGCGTTGATCTTATGAGCCCTTAGCACGACGACTTCTCGACTGTCTACTATAACAAATTTTGCTCGGCTTGCTTCTTCTATAACAATATAACAAAAAAGAATGAAAGGTGAATTAATGAGAATCTAATTCACTAAATACTAATCCATCCGCAGAAAATATCTTTGACCAAAGGTCATTTTATACTCGCGGGTGCCACAATCCCCTCTCATGACCCCAATATATGACGCCTATTGATGATGATGCCTTGTGTATATTATATTTTTTTCTCGATGAATTTTGTACAGAACCAAACATGAGTTACCTTGTCTCTTTCTTTCCGTCCTTGTATAAGTCACAGAATGAGGAAATTATGGATGGACTGCTAGTAACTGACAACATATAGGGCCGCTTATACACCAGCCTGAAAAAAGGTCCGTAAGAACATCTTCAACAGCCGCGCTAAACTAGCGCCACACCGCAAATTAGACCGTTTTAATGCGCGCGTAACGCGGCGGGTGGCTCCAGCGGGCGCGCAAAAATGGCGCGCGCGGCATATGTAGTTCAGCGCGCTGGCGAAACGCAATCGCGCGCCGCTTATTTGTTGCGCCCGCTTTGCTGGACTCTCGCGCGCTCGCTCTCCCACTTCCACCCCCCATCTGGCCGCGCCGCCGCCGCCGCCCGCGCCCCCCGGCGACCGTTCAGGCGCTTCCCCGGCCTATCCCCACGCCGCCGTGCTTCCGCCCCATCCCCTCCTAGTCCCGCCGGCCCTCGCGCGCCTCCGTCGTTCGAGGAACAGCACCCGAGCGCTCGCTGCCACGCCGCGCCCGCAAGGTGTTTGACAAAACGCCTACAAGGTATGTATTGCTCAAACTTCATGAATTTGGTGCATGTTTTGAATTGTAGTTTTTATAGTATAGTATTGAACATTGTAGATGAGTTCGTCGTATGATTCTTCCGAAGAAGAATTTGATATGGAAGAGGAGGAGGATCTTGCAATGATCATAGCTATGCATATCAATAAAAAACCGAAGCATGGTGGTTCGGTTATGGGTCGGGAGAAAATTTGGAGAGATAGGATTGATGCCCATAACAGATTGATGAAGAACTATTTCGTGGAGAATCCCACATACCTGGAGTCGTATTTTCGTCGCCGGTTTAGGATAAGCATCGACTTGTTCAGGCACATTGCAGAGAAACTAGCGAGCCATGACTGATTTTTCCAGCAAAGGAGGAATACCGCCGGAGAGCTCGGGCATAGCACCTTTCTGAAGGTGACAGACGCTTTGCGTATGTTGGCATACGGTATCCCGGCTGATCTAGTTGATGATCACTTGGCTATGGGTGAGAGCCAAGCCATCATGTGTGTCAAGCGCTTTGCAGTGGGAATTGTGCAAGTGTTTGGCGAGGAGTATTTGAGATCTCCCATTGCTGAAGACGCCGCAAGGCTATTGGCGATGAACAAATCGCGCGGCTTTCCTGGCATGCTTGGCTCAATAGATTGCATGCATTGGAGTTGAAAGAATTGTCCAAAGGCATGGCATGGGCAATTCCACGGCCAAAAAAAGGGTTCCACTATAATCCTTGAAGCGGTGGCCGATCATGAGACTTGGATTTGGCATGCATTCTTTAGAATGCCTGGATCTTTGAATGACATCAATGTTGTCAACCGGTCACCACTGATGAATAAGATTGCAAACCGTGAGTTGCCACCGGTGCAGTTTGTAGGAAATGGCCATACGTACAACTATGGCTATTATCTAGCGGATGGCATCTATCCAAAGTGGCAAACCTTCGTGAAGCCGTTGAAAAAGCCGGAAGGTAAGAAAAATCTTGATTTCCACAATGCTCAGGCGGTGGCTAGAAAAAATATGGAGAGAGCATTTGGGATTTTGCAAGCCCAATTTGCTATTGTGAGAGGACCGGCTAGATTTTGGGATCAAAAATGCTTTGGTACATCATGCACGTTTGTGTGATCATGCACAACATGATCATCGAGAATGAGCATGGCCAAGATTTAGACTACTCACAGTATGAGCTCTTGGGACATCCCGTGCGAGTGCGACGGAGGGCTGAAAGGGTAGCCCGTTTTATTGCCTCCTATCATGCCATTCGGCATCTCGCAACGCACAATGAACTTCAGAATGATCTGATTGAAGAGTGGTGGGCATGGCATGGACGACAAAGAGCATGATTTCTGCATTCGACATTGTATTGTTCATGAACTATTTGTTGTGTTAATTGCATTATTTGTTGTACTGAACGATAAACTATTTGTTTGAGTTGTAATGATATCGAAACTGAACTATTTATTGTTGATTTATTTTGTTTGTTTGATCATTTTTGCTCCTCTTTTTTGAAATGTATATGTGGTTTGTGCGTGCTGCGCATGCTGTATTTTTGCGCGCTGCTGGAGCGGCGCGCGCGCTGCATTATAACGCGACCGTTGGAGCCAGCGCTGGCGGCCGCGCTAAACCAGCCGAAGCGCACGCGGCAAACAGGTTTTTTGCACGCGGCGCGAATCGCGGCTGTTGGAGATGCTCTAATATCTGGTGAATTTTCACTGGAAGGGGTTAGCATTTTGCTAATATTTTAGATGACAAGTTTAGTTGTATGGGGTTGACTGTTTCTTGTGTCATTTTTAGAGAAGAAGAGACATTTTACAGAAAATAAAATGACAGGATCTGCCATCTCCTACCAGGTAAAGTTGCCAAAACAAAAGGCTTGCTTGCCATCCTCCTCCCAGCTATATCTGGCCAAACGGGCCGCTTTTTTCGGGCCAGCCCGGCAGCACGGCGGCACGACACGCGACGGGCCAGGCTCGGCACGGGCTAATCGTGTCGTGCTAGGCACGAGGCACGCACTGGGCCGTGCCTGGGCCGCGACCCTCAGCCCGCGTGCCAGCACGACACGACACGAATTCTAGCGGGCCGGCCCGTGGCACGGCACGGCACGCAGCACGGCGGCGCGGCACGATTGGCCCGCCTCGATCGTTGGGGGAGCGGGGGCGGTTTC